GGAACCACCGGGGTGCTGCTGCCCCCCACTCCCGTGCTCAGCACCTGTGCCTAGAACATTCCTGACGCTTTGGAGATGACCAGAGGCAGCGTCCAGGCTATCGCCTCACGGCCAGGCTGGCAGGGAAAGGCTAGGACCCGGCTTTGCTCAACCAACAATCCAGATCCCAACAGGCTGAGCCATTCCAGGGGAACACTGGTTCATGGCCCTTAGGAGCAGCGTGCGGCATTCGCTCTGTGCGCGGTCCGGAGGCAGTGCTCTTTGGCTGTGAGGTGGCCAGAGGGTGCTGGCAAGGCAGCACAAAGCAGCCACTTGACCCAGAGCATCCAGCAGTGCGTGCAAGGGGAATGATCTCCACGGTAACCAATGCATCTCCTCCAGTCTCTGAGCTCGGCTGGGTATTCTCTGCAGAGGGTTTCAAGTGTCCCTTTTCCTGGTTGGTGGGAGGATAGTGCTGATTGTCGGGGGGCTGAACAGCGAGGGTGCGTCTAGACTGCGTGGCTCATAGTCAGTGAAGCGGGGATTTAAATAATCCCTGCGTCATTATAATAAAAAACGGCCGCTGCTCTGTGCCGATAATCAGCTGCTGCGGCCCAGCGCGGCAGTCTACACACGGATCGGTCGACAGGAAGCCTTTGTCCACCGCTCCCTTGTGCCTGGTGGAAGGAGGGTTACAGGAGCCATGTAGTCTAGACATACCCTGAGAGAACGGACTGTGGGGCCAAAACGCTGCCTGTGCAAGTCACATTGATGGAGCCTGTGCCAGAGGAAATGCAATGTAACTAAAGTCTGCAGCAAGCACGGTGTTGGCTCTCAGCACCCAGATGGGCCTGAAGCTGCAAAGGGCCAGCGGCTGAGGCTGAGCACTTTGGGGGAGGCCCAGACGGTGAATGCCTAGAACCACTTGGCATTGCCATGTTGGAAACATCCCTAGTAAGTTACTTTCTGGCTTGTTCTGTTGACTGGTTTCCATCCCTTTTCATGGCTGGGCTTATATGTTACTACCACGAGTAGTCCATGAAGAACAGTTGTTATTAGGAAAGGGCTAGAAAATAAGACCCAGAATATCTTCCTGCCCCTGTATAAAACTATGGGAAGCCCACATCTTGAATACTGTGTACAGATGTGGTCTCCTCACCTCAAAAAAGATATTTTGGCCTTGGAAAGGGTTCAGAAAAGGGCAACTAAAATGATTAGGGGTTTGGAACAGGTCCCATATGAGGAGAGGTTAAAGTGACTGGGACTTTTCAGTTTAGAAAAGAGGAGACTAAGGGGGGATATGATAGAGGTCTGTAAAAGCATGAGTGGTGTGGAGAGGGCCGATAAAGAAAAGTTATTTATTAGTTCCCTAAATAGAAGAACTAGAGGACACCAAATGAAATTAATGGGTAGCAGGTTTAAAACTAATAAAAGAAAGTTCTTCTTCACACAACGTGTAGTCAACCTGTGGAACTCCTTGCCAGAGGAGGCTGGGAAGGCTAGGACTATAATAGAGTTTAAAGAGAAGCTCTATAATTTCATGGAGGTTAGGTCCATAAAAGGCTATTAGCCAGGGGATAAAATGGTGTCCTTGGCCTCTGTCTGTCAGAGGCTGGAGAGGGATGGCAGGAGACAAATCGCTTGATCATTGTCTTCGGTCCACCCCCTCTGGGGCACCTAGTGCTGGCCACTGTCGGCAGACAGGATACTGGGCTAGATGGACCTTTGGTCTGACCCTGTACGGCCGTTCTTATGTAACAGCTCATTTGAAATTTTACCTAGAGCTCTGGACAGGGTTTGGGCACATTTTCCAGCCCAGTCTGTTTAGGGCTCATCCAGGTCTGCCAGAAATTGCTCACAGTTCCAGACAGATCTGCCTCGATGGAATTCCCAGCGTGGGATCCCCGCAGCTCTCCCAGGGCGGTTTATGCACCCCCGAGAAAGGGGAAGCAAGCAAGTCAGTGTTGTGTTTGTGGGCCAGTGTCACAGGCCCCTGAAGCAGGACTTCCCTGAGCTTTAGGCTGCACCCTCACCCCATCACCAAGAGCCCTTAAAACGGCATTGGGGAGCTTCTGCTGCAAACACAATTTGCAAAACAAGACTGAAATAATAAGATACAAATAAATTATCTGGGCGTGTCACATGGTCCTGAACAGGGGAACTTAGCACAGGCAACACGTCCAGAGCTAGGACACCACCTTTCCAGGGACACTCCAGCACAGCACCAGCCTTGTTTGAACCACCCCATAGGTCCCTCTGACCAGCCCAGGGCTCATCAAAGATATGGCAAGCCTCCACTCAGGGTAATGGTGCCATCCCTGCCCTTGATCTCTCGGTAGGGCTGTGACAGGAGAAATCAGGCAATGTGAGAACCAGACACAGGGCACTGCAGGTTTTGCTGAGGTTTGCAGACATGCCTGGCGGTGCCCCCTTTGTGCACTCTGATACACTCATGTCTGACTCTTCGTTCTGACAGCTTCACAACAAATCAGGAGCAGGCAGCTTTGCTCTGCCTCCCAGCAGCCTTTGATATTCTTCTGCCTTTCAGAAGCAGGGTCCAGCTCCACCGGGAGCTATGACCTTCCTACGGGCTCCGAGGGGGAAATTCCAGGCCCTGTGTTATACAGTGGGTCTGACTTCATGATAAACGTGGCCTTCAAGTGCAGGAGTCCGGTCTCCTGACTGCACCTACCATTTCCCTGTGTAGTCTGAGGCTCTTCTGTCATTCCAAGCTAGAGACCGGTGGAGGATCCAAGATCTCAGGCTAGGAGATGGGAGGAGGGGGGCTGCCCTGCTCCTGATCACAAACCTGTGCACAATAGCAGAGCCATGCTCCGGGCACTCGGGGAGGGGTGCGGTGCTCATGTTGGAGGTCAGGCTCACAGCTGTTTCCTGGCATGCAGAGTGGGGATCAGCTCATGACAGCTCAGGTGCAGTGTTTCCAACCTGCATTACCATCTCCATCCAGTGACTTAGCCAGAGGCCTGGGATCGGGAACCAGCTGCAGATTCCAGCTCTGCTGCTGGCTACGTGTAGGTAAATCACTTGGGCTACGGCTACACTG